TTATTTTTGCAAAATTAAGGATATAGAACTACTCAGCAGATCACTGATTTAAACAGCTGGCAAAAGCATGGGACTTGTTAGTTTAGGTGCTTTATATGCATATAGGATTTTAAATGTTTTGTTCTGAAATCTCTTTGCTTTTTCTCTCTTTTCTTTTAAATTTCACTTGGACAAAACCACATGTATTAAGCCATTCTTTGTTGGCCTATACTTGTAATCCTTAACTACTCAGGAGGCTGAGATCTGAACATCTTAAGTTCAAAACCAGCCAGGCAGAAAAATCCTGCAAGATTCTTATCTCCAATTAACTAGCAAACAAACAAACAAAGGAACAAAAAACCCAACACTTGGAAATGGAGACTCAAGTGTAGAGCTCCAGCCTTGAATAAAAAAGGTTAGACAAGAGCACAAGTTCCCAAATTCAAGCCTCAGTACTGGTTCTAAAAATAAAAAAGTATAACAAAAAAGGCTTCTGAACTTTTCTTCATGATCAGATGGTTAGATACATTTTCTATTATGATTGTCTATTTTATATTATTGCTGTTATTTGGAACAGGTTCTTTTTTTTATACTTTTTATTGTAAAAATGCTGTACAGGGGGGTTACAGTTACATGAGCAAGTTAACAAGTATTCCTATTGAGCATTGTTGTCTCCTCCTTTGTTTTCCCCCTACCATCCCTTCCCTCCCACCTCCACAACTACAACACCCTTCCTCCCCCCCTCCCCCCGGCCAAGTTGTAAAGTTCATTTTCAACATAGTGTTTTGTACATCTCATTGTTACAATGGGTCAACCAGCATCCTTATTTAAGCATTTTGTTTTTTCCCTTCCTCTCCCCAAATTAGAGAAGTGTATATACAGGATGCAGGGCACCAACATCAAATACAGTGAAAACAGGGGTTATACCTTGGGGGAGGAGCATACAATCCCCAAATTAGAGAAGTGTATATACAGGATGCAGGGCACCGACATCAAATACAGTGAAAACAGGGATTATACCATGGGGGAGGAACATACAAAGCAACAAAAAAATCACATGGTACATTATAAATATGTTAGAAACAATAGCAAGAAAGAAAAAAAGATATTTATGTTCCCTATCTTGGGGTTCATTTCACTTAACATCATTTTATATGGTTATATGTACATAGCTTTTGGCCTTTTCTACTTGTCTTACACATATATTAGTTATTGCAAATAAGGGAAACCATGGGACCTATGTTTCTTTGGGCCTGGCTTACTTCACTTAAGAATGACATTGCCCCATGTGTTAGGAAATGGAAAGACTTGGAACAAGTTCTTTAAAAACTTTATTTTATTGCTGTTATGAATTGACAGCCTATTTTGATTGCTTTGCTGGTCACTTTTTAATGCTTGTGGCTTTCCACATGACTGCTCTGCATTTCTGAGCTGGTGTATTCACTTTATATGCACATAATAATATTGGGGGCCTGTACCAGATGTCTTTGCTTTTTCTTTCATTGGCTAGAACTTTCAAGACCTACTCAGGGATGCTGAAAACTAAAGACGTGTGTGTGTGTGTGTGTGTGTGTGTGTGTGTGTCTGTGTGTGTGCGTGTGCGCATGTGAGCTAGTAATGGGGCTTGGATTTAGGACTTGAGTACTGCCCCTCAGCTTTTTCACTCATGTGTGGTACACTACCACTTGAGCCATAGTTCTACTTCTGGCTCTTTTGCTGGCTAATTGGGTATGAGTTTCACAGACATTCCTGCCTGGGTGGTTTTGAACAATGATCCTAGATCTTAAGCTTCTTAAGTAGCTAGGGTTACAGGTGTGAGCCACTGGTGCCCATGAAGATATCCTTCAGATACATCTTGTTTTAAGGAAAACTGCAGTATCCTTGATGTTGCTTCTGACCTATATAATGAAATTGGCCTGTGAAAACTCTTTCTAGTCCTGTGTGCATCTGGCACAAAGCATTAAGGGGTTCATTGTTTGAATATTGCTCTTCCTAGAATCCCTAGCTTACCCCAGAGTCTCAGTCTGAAGTGCTGGTAAACTTTCAGCTCAGTTCTTGGTCTCTTCTGAAGCTTGTTCTCTTATCTGTTCCTACTTGGAACTTGACCTCTCCTCTGCTGACCTCACTTGCTAATACAGGCTGGTGGCCCTGACACTGAATAACAAACAGCAGGACTATGGTTATTTGCAGCCCTGGACCGAGAGGCACTGATCATACTTCTTGACAGGCTACCTGGCAGAGAAGTCCATAGACTCTTAGTCATCTGGACCTTTGCCCTTTGTCTGTCCTTTTCCTTTTCTCGGACCAGCTCAGCAAGGCCACCTATGTTGAATATTAGGCACTGTTTGTTTTGTTTTGTTTGGGGGGAGGGTAGGGTTTGGTAGTATATTTCTAGATTAGTGGGAAAACAGACCACAAAAAGGGGTGGTTGATACAGTACAAGATGAAGAGTTCTCATGATGAGACACAGTGGCTGGGGCAGTAAGTGCTTAGGGTAGTCAGAGACGGCTTCAAAGAGGAGATGACATTTGAACTGGGACTTAAAGCAAGAGTAGAAATTCCATAGGGCAGTTGAAGGAGAAGAGCTTTAATTATGACCATTTCTGTATACTCTGTATTATTGTTGCTGTTAGGAATAGGGCCTTTTAAATCCATGCCTTTGTTTTTCTTAAAAAAAATTTTTTTTGTTGTTGTTGGTCATGGGAACTTGAACTCAGGGCCTGGGGACTATCCCTGAGATTTTTGGCTCAAGGCTAGCACTCTTCCACTTTGAGCCACAGTGCTACTTCTGGTTAATTGGACATAAGAGCCTCACAGACTTTCCTGCCCAGCCTGGCTTTGAGCCACTATCCTCAGATGCCTCCTGAGTAGCTAGGATTACAGGTGTGAGCCACTGGCACCTGGCTTATTCTGGTGTATAATGTGAATGTTATGGAAGTTTACATAGTTGTTTTAGAGCCATCTGCAAAGGTTCAGAGGCTTGGATTTCTCCTTTCTGGAGAAAAGGGTCTTGCTGAGCTAGATGGGGTGATGTTGGCAGAGTAATGAGATCTCCTGGGGACCAGGATCAGGAGATGATCATTTCCCCAGCATGCTTCAGGAAGATGTGGGACGGGTGCTGGTCTAGAGGCAAGGAGGAGGTGGATAGAGCAGAGAGGAGATTGACAGCACAGTGGGAGGGGAGGAGACAACAGAGATGGCCCTCTGCCCACTTAGCTTCCAGGTGGTCTGTGAGCCATCATTTTATGATTGTTTCTATGACAACCCTGCAGGCATAGGATAATAGTCTAATTTTACAGATGAGGAAACCTAGAGGATAAGCTAGGCAGTCTAATTTCCATCTAATTTCTGAGCTCTGAGATTTTGGTGTTTGGGTGCTACCTTAAATACATACACACATGCTCCCATATGTCAGCATCATGGAGAGTAACTTACTTGCCATATAATTCATCCATTTAAAGTGTACTATGTTGACACATGGATCAAATGGTAAAGTTAAAAAATAACAACATTGTACCATTCCTTGGCTTTGTTATACAGTATTCATAAGGTTGTGCAATCATCACCAATATCCAATTTAAGAGCATTTTATTTTCCCTGTAAAGAGCCCCCAACTCCATAGTTACCACCCCTATGGGCTCTTCCCTTCTATCTCTGTGCTACCACTAATATACTTCCTGTCCCTGTGGACTTGCCTCATCTGGCATTTATTATAAAGGGAGCCACATTAGCCATGAGCACAAAGAGGCTCAGGGACAGAGCCCAGGCCCTGAGTTCAAGCCACACAACCAACAAAAAAAAAAGGGGGAGCAATATAACATGTGGCTTTTGTGATAGGCTTTGACTTGGCATCATGTTTTTATATCCATCATATTCTAGCACACTTTGGCATTTCCTTTTTATGCCTGAGTTTATTTGTTTATTTTTGGACATATCATATGTAGTTGGTCCATTTCTCATTGATGGACACTTGACTTGTTCTACTTTATTATGCATAACACTGCATCATGTAAAGTGGTTGTATGTGTGGGTCTGTGTCTACACTCTCCTGGGTGCATATGGGGGTCACACAGTCACTGTTCAATCACTGAGGAGCCACCAGGAAATTATGCATAGAAGCTTCCTGGCTGCTTCTTTGGAGCCTGGCAGCTGTGTGACGGGCCTGGGTGCATTGTACTCTTTCTTTCCATCCTTTCGTCTTTCTTGCTTGCTTGCTTGTTTCCTTCCTTCCTTCCTTCTTACTTTCTTTTTCTTTTTCTTTCTTTCTTTCTTTCCTTCCTTCCCTTCTCCTCTCCTTCTCCTTCCCCTCTTCTTTCCTCCTCCTCCTCGTCCTCCTCATCCTCCTCGTCCTCCTCCTCCTTCTTTTTTGCCATTTCTGGGGCTTGAACTCAGGGCCTGGTCACTGTCCCTGAGCTTTTTTGCTCAAGGTTTTGCTCAGTGGTAGACTGCTTGCCTTGCATGCATGAGGCCCTAGGTTCAATTCCTTAGCACCAAATAAGCCGAAAAAGCTGGAAGTGGCGCTGTGGCTCAAGTGGTAGAGTGCTAGTCTTGAGCTGAAGAGCTGAGGGACAGTGCCCAAGCCCAGAGTTCAGGCCCCATGACCAACTGCTAGCAGGCAGTAGTAACACAGAAAGTACTAGATGTGGGCTGGGAAGGTGGCTCAGTGGTAGAGTGCTTGCCTTGCATGCATGAGGCCCTGGGTTCGATTCCTTAGCACTACATAAGCAACAAGAAAAAAGCCAAAAGTGGCGCTGTGGCTCAAGTGGTAGAGTGCTAGCCTTGAGCTGAAGAGCTGAGGGACAGTGCCCAGACCCAGAGTTCAGGCCCCACAACTGGACCCCAGAAAAAAAAAGAAAGTACTAGATATTGCTGACAGGGGCCTGCTGGGAGAAAAAGGGCAGGTTCTAAAGTCAGGAATGAGACAGGCAGGAGGAGAGATGTGTTGGGTCCCTGTGGGCCTGGGCAGTTTCTTCAGCAGCTGTGGCTGATAACTCTGATCTGTGTTTGTCCTTTGGCTGCAGACCTGGCAGAGTGCAAGCTGGTTTCCTTCCCCATTGGCATCTACAAGGTCCTGCGGAATGTCTCTGACCAAATCCACCTCATCACGCTGGCGAACAATGAGCTCAAGTCCCTCACCAGCAAGTTCATGACCACGTTCAGTCAGCTCAGAGGTAGGCCCTGGTCAACAGTTCAGGCCCACAGGGAGTGGCAAACCCTTGTCCTCCAGACTCTCACTCTGTATGAGGGACATTACCAAAGCCAGTCCTAGGTCAAGCCAACCTACAAAGTCATTCCCAGGGGTCAACTCTGAAGTAGACCTGAGTCAACATCAGACTCCAGCTGGTTGTGAATCAGATTGAGTGAGGGCTAAGGGTGCTGGTCTTCCATTGATTCTTCTGTTTTTTTTTGGGGGGGGGTGTTCCGGTCGTGGAGCCTGAACCCTGGGCCTGAGCACTGTCCCTCAGCTCTTCAGCTCAAGGCTAGCGCTCTACCACTTGAGCCACTTCCAGCTTTTTTCTTTTTCTGCTTATGTGGTGCTGAGGAATTGAACCCAGGGCCTCAGGCATGCAAGGCAAGCGCTCTACCACTGAGCCAACTTCCTAGCCCTGATTCTTCTGTTTTGAACAGACCAGTAGGAGGGCATTTAGGCCCTGAGGCCTGGCAATAATGAATTCTTGGTAGACTTGAATGAGGGCCTTTACATACCCCATGCAGCATTGTTCACCGTGCTGCATTCCCAGCTTAGGAGTGAATGATGCCAGTTGGCATTTTCTTTCTGGGCACACAGAGCACACAGATGTGGTGCCAGGAGGCAGATGGGCAGGAAGCCAGTGGTGGGCATTGCAGAGCTTCGGAAATGGCTCTTTTGGATGGCTGAGCCTGATGCTGACACCGTGGCACCCACTCCTTTCTCTGAAGGCAACGCTCCTTCCTGCCACCTGTGCCAAGATGCTACAACCCAGTCACTTTGTGTTTTTGCAAAATGATAGGGCAGGGGGATGGGAGAGAGCAGGAGGAGCCTAGGAAAGGTAGTCTCTGCCTTCGAGGGTTCCCTGGCTGCTGAGGCATGAAAAGGGTTTAAGATTGCCAGTGGCACAGGAGCAGCTAAGGCAAGTCTATCTCACGCAGCAGGTTTTAAGCTTGGCAGGCTTCCTTGAGGAGGCATGCCCAGAAGGCAATGAACAAACCGCTACTTCCAATAGGAAGAAGCCTGTGCAAAATGGCTCAGAACGGGGTCAGGAGGTCCTGGAAAGGCTACCAGCAAGGTTCACAGAGAATCGTACCGAGGAAGGGGAGGGTCGCTTCTGGGAAGGCTCACAATGCTTGTTGCCTTCATACCTATAAAGCGAAAAGTTCTGATGACTGCGGGTCCATTTCCCAGGAGCCATCCCTGGTGCCTGGGCCTGCTTTTCTCTGCTTGCTTTCCTCACCTACTTGTCCCTAGCTGAAATCAGAATCAATTGAGGAGCTTTTCTAAAAACACATTAATTTTGGTTGTACCCCCAGAATGAGCCATTCTAAAGTGCTGGCTGCCAAGATTGAGAACCACAGTTCAGGGGTTATAAGCATTAATGCCTAGGATATGACTGTGCAACTAATGAGGGATTCTGGTTGGGGGTAGAGCAATAGAAAGTGGTGGGGACTGTGGCAACCTAGCCTTGTTCAGCTTTAGCCAGTGTGCCATGAGAGACAACGGGCCTGTGTCACCCACTGTTTAACTATTTAGTAGATATGGGAAATTAGCATTTTTTGGTGAATTTTAAGTACTACAAAATCCAAAGGCCAATGGAACATTTTAAAGGTAGATTTAGCCCACCAATACTAATTGTGACAATCTCCTGAAATATTAGCATTGCCTCTACCAATCCACTTCTGGGATAGAGAAGGAGGACCATGGAAAGAGGGCTGGTCCAGGGCAACCCAACAGGACACCTAGGACTGGGACCCAGGTTACCCACTGCCCAGGTCAGAGATGCTTTTCTCAGGCTGCCTATATTAGTTCAAGTGTCCTCTAGTATGGAATCTAGCAAACTGAGGTAGATATTTCCACTCTAGAAAAGTTGAGAAGGGGCTGGGAAGGTGGCTCAGTGGTAGAGCATTTGCCTTGCATGCATGAGGCCCTGGGTTCGATTCCTCAGCACCACATAAGCAAAAAAGAAAAAAAGCCGGAAGTGGCGCTGTGGCTCAAGTGGTAGAGCGCTAGCCTTGAGCTGAAGAGCTGAGGGACAGTGCCCAGGCCCAGAGTTCAGGCCCCACGACCCGAACCCCCCCCCAAAAATAGTTGAGAAGGCATGGGCACCCCCAGGAAGGGTAGTCAGACAGGGACTTCCTTTGGGGTTAGATAAGAGGTCAAATGTATTCTTCTCAAGTCCTCTGAGCACCTGGTATTTTCCAGACCAGTGTCTGGAAAAAATCTAGGAGGTGAATAAGCCAGGGTGTCTGTCTCCTTGCAGTAGCCCAGGTTTACATGATAAATACATCCTCACCTCTGGAGCTTGGGTAAGGTACTGATGGGGACTACATGCCAGAAGACTCCTGGGCAGAGGAATGGATGCTTCCTGAGAGTGGTAGTGGTAGTGGCAGATGTGGAGGCTGTGGGGAAGGGAGCAAGAAGAAAGAGGAGGAGGGAGAGAAGGAGGGAAAGAGAGAGAGAGGGAAAGAGAGAAGGAGGGAGGGAAGGAAGGAAAGAAGTAGGTGGGAGGAGAGGAGAGAGAGAGAGGGAGGGAGAGAAGGAGGGAGGAAAGGAGGAAAAGAGAGGGAGGGAGGGAAAAGAAAAGCTTTCAGAGGACTTGACAGTGGGGCCATAAGTGTCTCATACACAGAGTGGGGCGGGCGGGGGGAGAGGGGAGCCCTCACCAGCAGCATGGGGCTCAGCTGCAGAGAAGTGTTTAGGATGATGCCCTTTGGGTCAGAAGCCTATTGGGTTCCGTTCGAACTCCTCCTCAGTGCAGAGCCCTGCCTGCAAAGAAAGGCTGGCCCACTGCTAATTGGATTTCACACAGCGTATTGAGGGCTATGTGGCCAGGGACGGGGTGAGCTAGAGCTGATTCCCCATCTGGCCCTGGGCTCAAGTCTTCGTTGTCGTGTCTCTTTCAGCACCAAAGTCCATGTTTGTGTGTGTGGAGGAGGCATGGCGAGGAGCATTGTGTCTTCTTCTGGGTTCCTGGTGGAGGGGGATTACCTCAGTACCAGGGAGAGGACAATCTGCCTGCCCCCAGCGAGTCTCACTGTCTCCCAGGATTCGTGGCTGGTCTGGCTTGGGGCATCTTTATTTATTTCATCCCCTTTGTTCCTCAACAAGTTTATGGAAAGAAAGAAGCAAAAGCTGAGAAGGGAGAGTCTAGATGGAATCCATCTGTGGAAAGTGGCTCTTTTGTCCGTGTCTCCCTGCTTCTACTCAGGTAGGATAAGTAGAGACACTCTGGGCTTGCTGTATAACAGGCAGCCAGACCTACGCCTTGCTTTTGGTGGAAACTCAAAGGTGGGCAGTGCAGTGGGTTAGCTTCACAGTGGAACAGCAGGAGGATCTGGTCCTATTTGTTGTCTGGCTGCTGACATGGGGCAGCTGCAGGTATCTAACTAGAAGCTGGTAACTCAAGTGACTGGGTAAGGTGTGTGTGTGTGTGTGTGTGTGTGTGTGTGTGTGTGTGTGTGTGTGTGTGTGTGTGTGTGTGTGTTTCTCTGGTTCCTCATTGGAAGAGGAGACACAAATCAGGGAAGCTCTAAATTATTGAGTCCTGACATTCAGGACCAGTTGTTACAGGGTTATTGATTGGCCTTTTGCATTGTTGCTACAAGTAACAATCTGACTTCCTACAGTTAATAATTGCAGCTGTCCCATATCCTGGGCTGGTGCTATAGATAATGGGTTAGGATACTGAGCAGATGCTAGCTGCAGGTTGTAGACAAAAAATTCTATTTTTAATAGAAATAGTATCACTTTTTCTAATTTACTTTATTGTTTTAGAGGTGATATCAGAGGGGTTACTTTTACATAGGTCAGGTAATAAGTACATTTCCTTTTGCATAGTGCCATTTGTTCCCTCATTCCCTCCCTCCCATCTCCACCAATGAGTTGCATAGTTCACTTTCATCAATGTCCAGTGCAGCCAGTGTGCTCCATTGCTGCATTTTCCACACTTTTTCCTCTGATTCTGCACCTTCTCCCCACCCTCTGCAATGTCAGAAATACCAGAAATACAGAGTCAACATAAGGAGAAAAACAAATTAAGAAAAAAGTCATTTCTTTCTATATCTTTGGAGTTTGTTTCTATATATATATGTATATATATACATATATATAATTTTATATGCATATGAAGAAGTGCTTAGGTATTTCACCATTGTGATTATCTCCTAAGACTATCTTTTGGTCTCTCTGTATGTGGATATCTAGAATTCTGTGTGCTTTGTCATATCCCAGTACGTTGTAGATCTAACTTGTATATATATCAAGAAGAACATGTGCTGTTTGTCTTTCTGCTCTCTTTAACATGATTTGTCTAGTTCCATCCATTTCCCTGAAAATGACATTATTTTATTCTTTCTAATGGCTGTGTAAAATTCTATTGTATATAAAGACAACATTTTTGGATCCATTGTGCGGCATCTGGATTGTTTCCTTATCTTGGCTGTTGTGAATAGGGTAGCAATGAACATGAATGTGCAACTGTCCTTATCATTTCCTGGCTCATGATGCCCAGGGTAGATGCCAAGGAGTGGTATGGCTGGGTGTAGGGATGTAGTTTTTTTGAGGAACTTCCAGACTGCTTTCCAGAGTGGTTATACTAGTTTACATTCCACCAGCAGTGCAGTAGGGTTCCTTTTCCCCCACATCCCTGCCCGCCAGTATTTGTTGTTGTTAGAATTCAAAATGTCAGCCAATCTAACTGGGGTAACATGGTATCTCAGGGTTATTTTGACTTGCATTTCCTTTATGGCTGAGATGATGAGCATTTCCTCATGTGTTTCTTTGCCATTCTTACCTCTTCTTCTGAGAAGTGTCTTCTTGGCTCCCTTTCCCATTTAGTAATTGGTGTATTAAGTTTGGAAGGAGTTAGTTTCTTGAGTTCCTTGTATATATTGGATATTAGGCCTTTGTCTGATATATTGCTGGTAAAGATCTTTTCCCAATTGGCTGGCTGTCTTTCTAGTTTAGTAACTATGTCCT